CCATCATATCAGGTTCTGGAGCTTTCTCTGCAATGACCTGTGACTTGCTCAGACTCCAGTCTTTCCTCTTGAACTTGCTAATCCGGTTCTCACTGTCTTCTCTGGGTGGCAGATCTTCAACTCTGGCACCTGATGAAGCTCTGCGTTCAAACAATGGTTCCAGGATGGACCTGTCAGCCAGGAAGGACAAAAGTCACAGAACGTTAATCCCAGAATGAACTGACTTCACTCCAAAGCACCAGCAAGACCCTCAACTCCATCTTCACCCAGCTTCTCAGGTTCCCGGAGTCTAATGACCAAACAAACAACTCAGGGTAAAAGTACAGAAACGAGGTTATCATATGAAAGGGAGAGAATATTAGTGAATAGTTACCCTCACCCACTGTGTGTTATATATTTGTTCTCTTGTGGATATGTGCATGTGTATACATGCCATATGTAGACATGAAAGCACGCATGTGAAGGTCAGAGGTCAACATTGAGTGTCTTCCTCTATCACTTTTCACCTTCTTTTTCAAGACAGAGACTTTCGTTGAACTAAAAGCTCACTGATTGGCTAGATTGGCTGGCCAATGAGCTATCAGAACCTGCCCCATTACCATTCAACTCTACCACTAGGGTTCTATATGTGCTGTCACATCTGGCTTTGATGTCACATCTGGCTTTGATATGGGTGCTATGGATTCAAACCCAGGTCCTCACACTTGTACCGTAGGAACTGATGAAACCATCTCCCCAGATCCCATCCATATTTATTCTTTCCTGGGAAGAGATAAGGACAGAACCCATAGAGTAAAAGACTGGCACATATCTTATAGCTCTGTTGTGGACCACGGCTTGTGTCCTGCGGAGCCTGCATCAATTTTACCCACAATTAGTTGCTGGGTAACCTGGGTACAATGTCTTAGATTTGTGATCTGCAAAAATGTTTGGTACCAACGAGTGTTTGAAAAATGTCTACTAGCTATAATGAATGATAGATTTCCAAGTCCCATAAGGAAAACTGGCCACTCATGAATCATGATCAAACACTACACATAGGGGGTCAGAGCTGGATATGTAACAAGTACACTTCAGGTGAGGACAGATATCTCTGGTATTCAAAAATAGAAAGAGAAGCCTAATTTTTAAGAAATGAAAGACATAAATGGATATTTAATGAAAAAAATAAAGTCCCAAAGTTTAAAATTTGGTCTCACTAATGACTAAATAAGTTAAAGTAATTGCAGCTGAGGATGATGGCTTATGCCTATAGTCCCAGGAACTTAGTAAGCTGAGGCAGGAGGATTGCTTAGATTGGGCAAAGTTTTTATTACAGTTTATAGTTGAGTTTCAATGCAAAAAGGTGGGTAATATAGTAAATTCATGTACAGGTCCCCTGTCATCAACAACGATCACCTCAGAGCCGGTCTTGTTTAGTCTACATACCCAGTTACAGCCCTCAGCCTTCACTAAACGACTTGGGAGGGGTTGCCTGCTGTCATATCTACACAGTTCCAGAGGGCATTTCTACAAGATAAGGTCTCACAGCTTTTTATGACTGCAATTCTATCATTCCCTAATCTCATGCAACAATCTTCATATTAATTTCCCAGTTCTCTTACAATTATTTTAAATGGGTGGCTCGGCTGAATTAGGATGCAATTAAGAGTCTCTCTCTGTACTAGTTAGGACACTTGGTAGATTATTTTAAGCTTTCAAAACTCTAGATCTCCTTTTCTCCAGTCCAGAATCAAGTATCCTTGTCACTAGCTATGAGGATGCAGGATGGACAAACTCCAGGGAGGTCTGCTTGAGGTAGCACTAATGTCTATGGCTCTGCCTTCAGACTCCAAGTTCCTCTTTGTAGGTGTTTGTTTTGTTGTTGCTGTTGCTTTTAGTGGGGGGTGGGGGGGTGTTATCATTCTGTAGTTGTGATTTGCAAAAAATGGCTCCCACAGGCTATGTTTGAATGCTAATTCATCAGGGAGTTTGAGAAGGATTAGAAGGTGTGGCCCTGTCCCAGGAAGTGTGACATTGGGGGTGGGCTTGGAGGCTTCAGAAGTCCACACCCAGCCCAGTCTGTCTGTCTCCTCTCTTTCTGCCCATGGATCAGGATGAAATTCTTAGCTACTGTTCGCATACCCTGAGTGCCACCAAGCTTCTCCCCTGTCCCTGCCATGCAGATAATGGACTAACCCTCTGAAACTGTAAACAGGCCCTCAATTAAATGCTTTCTTTTGTAAGATTTGCCTTGGTGTCAGTGTCTTTTCACAGCAATAGAATTGGGACTAAGACAATAGCTTAGGGTTGTCTTGAAATTTGAGAAATCCTCCTGTCCTCTTAGCCTTTTGAGTGTAGGGATTACAGGCCTGAGCCATAACACTTGTCTGAAAGTTCTTTATCTCATTTCAAAGTTAACTTCTCCTTTTAAAAATTCTATCTAAATCTATCTGTATATCTATCTATCTATCTATCATCTCTCTATCATTTTATCATATATCAGCAATATCTGTCAGTCTGCCCAACTGCCTGCTTGCCTACCTGTCTACACACCTACCTACCTACCTACCTATCTACCTACCTACATACCTACCTACCTACCCCTGCATATGCCTAAATATTTTCTTGGGGTATATTCCAGTTGTTAAAGTTTATAATTATCTTGCATTTCCTACTTAATAAATTATGTACTTATCTTGTATTTCCTACTCATTCATTAATTCATTTGCTGGACAAACTTCCTTCCACAAAGAGCAGACCCTTAAATGTTTTTCCTTGTTTTAAAGAGCCACATTAAAGGACTGCCATATAAATAAGCATAGAGAAGAGCATGCATTTAGGTGCTTGACTTCATAGAAAGAGCTACCCTAGAGGCTCACAAAGAGCCTGAACGGTCACATCCGTTCTTAGGTGGTCCTGGTGGTTAGAAGCCAGAGATTAAGATGAGATTTTGGGGGCTGGGAAGATGTCTTTAGTGAGAAAAAATACTTGCTCAAGCATGAGAACTTGAGTTAGTATCCCCAGAACCCATGTAAAAAGAGCTGGGTAAAGCAATGTGCACCTTGTCCTCAGCACTGCAGGCAAGGATGGGGGTCTGGGCTCCCTGGCCAGCC